TTAGAGTTATAAAATTTCTAATATTTTAAATATATCGAATTTTTTTACTCTGATTTTTTTAGTCTAGTCCGATATATTCCCGATCTCTTTACATGAAGTATTTTTACCGATCCATATTTTTTACCTGATTTTTTTATCGGGCTTTTTAAAATAAAAACGATTAGTTTCTTATTTCATGATGAGCCGATTTATTGATAATCCCCGACTTGCTAACTATGGTTTGGTCTAATCACCCTTTTTTTTTAATCGAATATTAGAGCTAGAGAAGACATTTACTAACATATCTAAGAAATTCACTGCTTCAATATGGGATTCAAAGTCAAGACCAGTATAGTAGTAGAAACAAACTCGAATTTACAATTTTTAGTGTGGTAGAAGAAAATGATGATGAGAATTACACTGCTAACATCTTTTGCAACAAATAACTCGAATTTACAGATTTAAACAAAAAATACATGTAACAGTCACTTGCAGGCACAAAAATGGTAAGACATTACAGCTAGATCCCCATGAATTGCTCAAATTTAAGCCAAAATCTTAACTCGGATGTCACTACAACTACGCCAAAACTAGCAACCCTAAAACATTGACATAAGTGTGAATTCCTCACCTTCCAAAATTTTAAACAAAATTTTCGAAGTTTTCGAAGTTTTCGAAGAACAAGAAACAGAGAAACAAATAGAGTTCAAAAAATTTTGAGATAAATGTGAATGCCATTAATTTCAACAAAAACAACTTACCTTGAGGGGTTCTTCTTTATTGCTCAAAGAAAGGGCTGGAATCTATGAGGAAATGGTGCCCTCTGACTCTTGGATGAGAGAGAGTATCATGGATGAGAGAGAGGGTATCAAGGAGAGAGATGAGAGTGTGAGAGGGAGAGGGTTTTGGGGAGAGGAGAGAGAGTGTGTGTTTGGGGGAGAGATAAGAGTGTAGTGAGAGGGGTTGGGGGAGAGAGGTGATAGAGAGAGGAAGAGAGTTAGGGGGAGAGATACGGGGGAGAGAGGTGATAACGAGGGAAAGAGGGTTTGGGGAAGAGGGATGAGAGACTGTGTGGGAGGGTTTGGGGTGAGAGGCAATAGAGAGAGGGTTTCGAGGGAGAGAGATGAAAGACTATGAGGGAAAAAGGCTGGGGAGTGAGGTGATACAGAGAAAGATGGTTTGGGGGAGAGAGGTGATAGTGAGAGGGAGAAGGGTTGGGAGAGAAAGAGAGATTTAGGGAAGAGAAGTGAGAGAAAGAGAGAGGTTTAGGGGGGAAACAGAGGGATAGAGAGAGAAAGAAAACGTTGTATTTTTAGAAAGAAATAGAGCTGCATTTTTTAACTGTTCGGGGCAAAAAAGTGTGATAAAAAAGGGTAAATTAGGTCCAAGGAGTTAAAAAGATATATTTTCTAGAACCTCTATGCAGCTAGCCAATTTCAAATTTTATGAGTCTATTGAGAACCGGTACACCAAAATGGGGTCTATGGAGATTTTTTTTTTTATTTTTAGCATAAAGATACCACAATCATCATTGATCATTAGATGTAAAATCGGACAGTAAGAGGTGTGTGATTGATTTGGGTACAAACACAATAAAATTTCTCAAACTGTGTACCACACCCAAGTTGTTGAATTTCACATCCGATGCCTAAAGATAATTGTGACCTTGTACTAAAAGTGAACGGTCTCATAATATGCAATCCCATACATATCAATAAGTCTTTGTTAGATCACTTTTTGACGCAATTTCCTTTATACATAATTCCCATGAAACGCAATATGATTCAGTCTGTCTAGCCGTTTTTCAATGTTGAGAAGGTAGCTGCTTTCATCTAGATACGTACTTTATAAGGGAGGGGGGGACTTTGAAAAGGCAAGCACAGTCCGTAAGGTTGAATCTGCATATCTTCAGAGGGATAACTAAATGGATTTAAAGGTTGGTGTTGTTGATTAGCCATCATCTGTTGCTGGATCATGAAATCATGCTGTTGATGAGCTTTAAATTCCATCTTAAAAGGGGCCATGGAAATCATGTTTGGAGCATCATATATATCTTGCTGCGCATCGAAGGGATTAGGGACCACTTTTCTACTATTATAGCTCCCTTTTTGTGTTCCTTGTCTTTCTGAAGCATTCATATTTTGCATTCCACATGTTTCCAAAACATTCTCATAAGAGCCATCCCATGCAAACTTGGTCTGACCCCCATCCTGTTACAAAGTGAAAAGGATCTTAGATAATAAATCTCCTAGGTCAAATATCACTGAACTAAATTTGCTACATTGAGAGATCTTTGGTTAAAATGTATATATAGACAATGACATTGGACCCATAACTCTAGGTAAAGACCAAGGAACCTAATTTCTTGTGTATGTCCATGACAACATAATGCAGATTTTCCATCTTCAGGTAAGGTTACCTGTTTCAATTATCAAACCATGTATCTATAAATGGACTAAAATAATTGTTTTCCTCTCAACTTATGTAAAGCCTTCATTAAGTTCAGTATAGGGAGGGGAAACAAAATCGAATTTTCTTTTTGGATAATTTAGAGGTAAAGTTTGAAAACATATCTTTAAATGTGGACTAAAATCTGGTACCCGATTTCGACAGAGAGATTCTAAAGATCATTCATGCTAAATGGAAAAAAGACCAAAAATATCCAGGTTATATGAAATATTCATAATGAAATATTGACAATGAAACTTTCATAAATGAATTTTAAAACTTTACAAATGTAGAACTGCATGAAGAAACAAAGCAAATGAGACTAAAAGGGGCTCAGATTTGCTCAAAAGGCTCCAACTAGATATAATTATGATCTAAACATAACTAAAAGGCTTACAAAAACCACATTGAATTCCATTATATTGGAGCAATAAAAATTTCTCAAGGGTGACTGAAATATACCAGATTACTTCCTGCAATAGAGATTGGTTCAGTCACAAGTGCTAGCTCCCAACCAGTGATACCATTTGCAGCATCAAGCTCACCAGAAGCAGGAAGTTTTGAAGTTCCTGCACCAAAACCTGGTAAGTTCTTACAGTAATAGTACTTCTTGGCGTTTGAATTTGTCACAAATGAAAGTTTCACCTGTGATACCGTTTGCTACATCATGTCCACAAGAAGCAGTAACATTTTGAGTACCTGTAATGAAATAAGCAAAATGACATATGAGAAGCTTCTTCTTGCTTTTAGGCCATCAATAGAGAAAAATACGCTTGCATTATATACCTGATGGAATAAAGGTAAGTGCAAGGGGATTTTCCACATGAGCTGTATAAGCTATTGGTGTTGTATTCTTTGGTCCCTATTAACCATGAAAACAAATGCCCTTATGAACACAGAAATCCTAATAAGCTCTGCACTGCAAATCAAAAGATGGGCTGATTCAATATTTTTATTTTCTATTTAATTTCTGGGGGCTTATTTATTTATTTTTATGGGTTACATATTAGAATTAGTGTGGAAAATTGGGACAGTTTCTTATTCTATGTTATAGGCTAGGTAGTTAATATCCATTTTTCATTAGGAGTGGATTGATTTCCTACTTGTTGAATATTTGTTGGAGGCCCTGCATAATTGTTTTATGGTAGGCCAGTTGGATCTATGTCCTATGTTGGAGTCAAGTGAGGACTAGAAAGTAGGTGAATTAGATAGGAGTAGGATGGGAAATACATGGGTTTAAGAAAAGCATCCTACAATGGTGGGTCCAAGGGAGAGGTAGGAGAGTTAGAGAGAGATAGGGGGGATTCATTTAGGGTCCCAAACATAGGGAAGTAGGAGAGTAGTGCGTGACATTTTCTTGGAAGAGAATGTCCTATTTTGAATGGATATCCTATTTTGATGGGATTTGCAAGAAAGAGGAAGTACTTGAGAGTGAGAGAGAGGTGTAGAGAGGAGGACATGTGGAGGCCTAAAAATTGGGTGTGGTGAGAGGGGTGCATCAGTTTGAGAGAGAAAATATTTGTTTTTTTTTTTTTTAATTTCGATTTGAATAGAAGGAGACTTGGACATCCCAAATAGAGAGCTTGTGTATTCTTATTCTCTTTGGGCGTAATTACAACCATACTTCTCTGTTTGCTGAGTTGTGTGTATTCTATGATTGAGAGAAGGGTGGATGTAGTTTATGAGCCTCCTTTCACATTGCTCTGGATATCAAACAATTTACATGACATAAATGTAGAAAGTCCACATACCAATAAATCAACAGTTGGTGCATATGTAGCCATCTCTAATTTAACAGGTTTAGAGAGCGATGAATAAAGTGGAGGAGGTCGTTGCACTTCGGGTGTTGTCTTATACTCCAATGCTAACAATGCCTTGGGAGCAGGATTACTATAAAGAACCTGGTAACAAAATAGAAACACAAAAATTCTTATTCACAGGTTCAATAAATAGAACATGCAGCAATTTGAAAGAAATGAATGTCAACTGAACTGAATGGTATATAACACTGAGGTTCTCGAAATTGTATCTAGTAACAGGAAGCATGAAATGTTATTTGAAAAGAAATGAGATCAAAGCACATCTAGTGGATGTAAAGAACATAAAATATTCGAGAGACTACTCATAAACCTATATAAGCATAAAATAATGCTAAAAACCCATGGAAATCACACACACACACACACACACAACAAAAAAGAAAAAAAAACCTTTAGTTTTGAAAAATAATTAAAATAAGATATTAATGAAAAAGAAGACATTAAATGTCTCAAAGGAAATGCGAGATTGACACAAACAACTTGTTGAGATGTATCCTACGTAATCTATGAGCGTAATTATTAGTCATTTTATAGATGGATGTTTTTTTCCTCATTCATCATTGGTGAAATTCATTTTAACCAAATCTGGAGATAAAATGTAATTCACCATACATACATACATACATACATACATACATATATTAGGGGGTGATTTCATGTCACCATATCATTGTAATATAATGAAACCATACTTTTAGAACACCATGTTTGTCGCATTTCTATGACCCCAAATTTTTCATAGGCACTATCTTCATCCCAACAATGAAGCCCAAAAATAAAATAAAATTCAATTTGCACCGTACATATGATCAAAATGAGTCCCCTTCCAACAATGAATCTAAACCTTCCATTTGGTGAATTCTAAAATCTAGGCCTTTAGAAATTCAAAATCAATTTTTTCTTTCTTGAATATTGTTCATCTAATGACAACAAAGCCATCTACAAAATTTGGAAAATCAAAAAGTTCCTTCTAAGGCCTAGATCTAAGAATCTCAGCAAATAAACAATCTATTTTAAGTGCTTTAAAAAAACACTCTTTTGGGTGCATTTTTCGTTTATTTTTTTTGTAATTATTCATCAAAACGAATAGAGCATATGTTTAAAAATTGGGGTCAAACAAATGACCCTAGCATAGTCTTTGAAGGTTTTTTTCATTATATCACTATAAAACCATTGCATGAGCATATGGTAAATGCATAAGCAGCCTGTTGATATGTTCTAACTTTTTTTTTTTGGCTAAACAAGTTTAGGATCTTTCAGACTTCAACGTAGCATCTTCATCAGCCTTTAATTAGATGACCACAATCCTCTATGGCTGAAGAAGGCCGAGGGACCTACAGCTAGAATTCACACTCTCACCATCACCAGATGGAATGTGCCATCAGCAAGATTTAAATGCGTGTCTGCATTGTGCCAATGAAAACCGATGTACCACCTATAGAGCAAATCCAATTCAAGTAGTTCATTAATCTTCAACAAATAGAATTAAATTTTTTATTGGTAAAAAATATCTATTAAAAACTTAAAATTACATAGGAAATCCAAATCTACTATGCAAAAAGGAATGCAATATTGGCATCTCACTCAGACCACGCGAAAAAGAATGCATCATCACATTGGCATTGGCATTTGCAGCCCTTAGAACATCACAAAATAAATAGACATTAAAATTTCTTTTCTTGTTGAAAAAAAAAAAGAAAAATCATTGTGCTTCTTGGTGCACTAAGACTGACAAAAAAAAAATCTTGGAACGCCTATGGTCTTACTTTGTGGTTTCCTACTTAAAAAGATGGCATGGTGCATATCTATATCTCCATGTGGTAAAGACAGTCTAAAAGAAGACTAAATTTATGACAAAAATGTGTCATCACAAATTCATAGGTGGCAGGTAGACAAATTTAAAGGGGAAGATGGAACTTTATGCAGTAAGATCTCATAAGGGACTTCTGTGCTCATGGCTAAATGATGCATAAACAGAGCACATTTTAGCGCAACTTGATCATCTATAGAAGTCTGTTACTAAGGTCTTGATGAAGAAAATAAAAAAAAGGTTTGGTTAAGTTTTGATTTCATTTGGACTGCATTTACTTTTTCTTTTCATCTACGGAAGTCTGTTACTAAGGTCTTGATGAAGAAAATAAAAGAAAGTTTTGGTTAAGTTTTGATTTCTTTTGGACTGCATTTTCTTTTTCTTTTTTGTTTTTTAGGTATATTTTGGGAATTTTCATCTACGATGGACTTTTCCATAATTTACAGAAAAGTCAGGGGGGTTCTTTTAAATTTTGGGATTGGGAAAAATTAGGAGGGAAATTTTTGAATTTGAATTTAAAATCATGCTTGGGAAGTGGTATTGTGCATGGCTTGGGAAAGTGTATTTTGCAAGGCTTGACAAGTGGTAGAGTCCATTTAATGTTCCTAGGAAAGTTAAAAGAGCTTTAACATAGAAGGCAAGCCAGATCTATTAAAAGGGGAGACCTTACCGTGCTGGAAATCAATGTCATTGCTGTAAATCTCAGAAAATAAAAAACTTACTTCCCATTTGGGTGTATTTGGACCCTCATACAAGCCATTGAAACTACACTTTCTTAGCTTCAACCTTCTTAGCTTCAACCCATTGTCTTTGAATCACAGTTTTCTACCTACTTTCGAGCTATTTCTCTCATTTCTCTCTATTTCCTGCATCAAGTGGTATCAAAACAGGAATCCTCTCTTTTGGACCTTGAATTATGGCCAATAGAGGACAAAATGGAGAAAGTGGAGGTCGAGGAGGAGGAAGAGGTGCTGTACCAAGGGCAGAATATGATGACCTATTGAAAAGGTTCAATGAAATGGAGCAATTGGTGGGCCGTTTTGCCAACTTTGATCGAGAGTCAGTCACTTACGAAGTAAGGAATCGAGTAAAGAATGTATAAATCCTTTCCACAACCAAAGGGAAACCAACATTAGAGGATAGGTTGGTTCATGGCCTAGCTGGTTCAAATGAAGGCATGAGTGGATGTCCCTGAATTTTTGGGAATTTTTTCAGTCCGATGAGTTCTTCCACTGGTTAAACAGTGTGGAGGCCTTCTTTGAGTGGAATGTTTTTTCAGAAGAAAGGAAGGTCCAACTTGTGGCTAACCGACTCAAGGGGCATGCCCAAATATGGTGGCAAAAGGTGCAAGCCAGTCGAGTGTGAAAGGGGAAAGAAAAGATAGCAACTTCGAGGAAAATGAAGTGGCGTCTCAAGGAGAAATTCATACCCTCTAGTTATGGGCAAGAATTGTACCAACATTTGTGGGAAAAGGAGGGTATCCAGGAGTATACGGATGGATTCTTCCTCCTTGTGAACCAGAATGAAGTCAATGAAAGCAATGAACAGCTCATTGCAAGGTATGTGAGTGGACTGAAACCCCAAATTCAAAACAAACTAATTCTACAACGGATTTTCAGTCTTGATGAGGCTCATCAAATGGCCTTAAAAGCTTAAACCTAGTTGAGAAATAGTCAAACTGGGGCAGGAAATCAACCACAATTCAAAGGGGACATGTGGCAAATCAAAAGCCACGAGATTTGGGTGTGAACGACACCCAAATGAGGCATCTATGGGAAAAGCTCCAGCTGCTAATAGGCCTCTCCAAACCAGAGAATAGGGTGTAAAATATTACAAATGTGGCGAGCATGGCCACCGGTTGTATGAGTGCTAGAAACGGCAAGCTAGAACACATCTCCAAGATGGGAATGAAGTGAATGAAGAAGATTGTCATGGGGCTAGTATTCGATGAGGAGCTGGTAGGGGAAATTGAGTAAGATGCTGCTGAATTTGAGGCTGATGAGGGGGATTTCCTTGTCATTAGACAACCACTAACTACCCCAAAGGTGCTAGATGAATCGTGGCTTCGAACCAACATCTTATGGACTCACTGTACAGTCCTTGGGAAGGTGTGCAACATTATCATTGATAGTGGCAACTGCGGCAGTTTGGTGTCTCAAGAAGTTGTTGACAAGTTGAAGTTGACATTTGAGAAACACCCACTGCCCTGCAAAATTTCATGGTTTCGGAAATGAAATGAGACTCCGACAACTTCTCGTTGCTTAATTAATTTTTCCATTGGTAAAACTTTTAATGATTCAGCTTGGTGTGATGTCCTTCCAATGCACGCATGCCATATCGTTTTAGGTCGTCCTTGGCAATATGATTGAGCTGCCATAAACCATGGGCAACACAGTACATACTCTTTTTGGAAGGACAGGGTGAAAATTGCTTTGAAACCGTTAAAGGAGGAAAACAAACCTGAACCCGAAGAGTGGGAAAGGAGATGTTGTCCTTACTTTGAACCAGTTTATTGAAGGCGGTAAAGAATAAAGGGTAGTGTATGCTTCGGTAGCCAAAGAAGGGTCTTGCCTAAATGAAATCCCTACAAAAGTTAACCCACTAGTTGAAAAGTTAAAGGATGGGATTACTGATGAACTACCTAAGGAGTTGCCAACGACGAGAGCCATTCAATATTGCATTGATTTTGCTCTAGATTCCACTCTCCCTAACTTGCCACATTATCGAATGAGTCCCAAGAAGCACAAGGAGTTACATAGGCAAGTAACGGAATTTTTGTAGAAAGAGCATGTGCCCATGTGCAGTATCTGCCTTGTTAACTCTAAAGAAAGATGGCTCGTGGAGAATGTGCTTGAATAGTAGAGCAATTAATAAAATCACAATTAAATACTGTTTTCCTATCCCTCGACTTGATAACATTCTTGATATGCTATCAGGATCAAGGGTATCTTTTAAAATTGACTTGAAAAGTGGTTATCACCAGATTCGTATAGACAAGTGGAAGATTGCGTTTCAGACACGAGAGACTTATATGAGTCGCTGGTCATGCCCTTGGAGCTCTTTAATGCTCCAAGCACTTTCCTGAGAGTAATGAACCAAGTGCTTTGCCTGTTCTTTGGCAGGTTTGTAATGGTGTACTTCGATAACATCCTCATTTATAGTGCAAGCCCTGATGAACATTTGTTGCATTGACAGCAGGTGTTGAAGGTCTTTCGAAAAGAACAGTTATTTGTAAACCTCAAAAAATGTTCATTTTTTATTGATTGTTTAGTACTTTGGGTTTTCTACTGTTAAGTGAATGGTCAAGATGGATCCTACTAAAGTACAAGCCATTGTGACTGGCTGCCACCCAAAACAGTGACTAAGGTGAGAAGTTTTCACGGTTTAGCAACATTTTACAGGAGGTTTATCAGAAACTTCTGCAGCACAATAGCACCCATAACTGATTGCATGAAGAAAGGGGTGTTTAAGTGGACTTTAGCTGCTGAAAAAAACTTCAAATTAGTGAAAAAAGAACCCTTGGAAGCACCATATGTGAGTATTGGACTTCTTTCCTCAATAGCTTTCTTCCTATTCTTCTCCATAACCCCCGTTCTGGGACGAATTCTGAACAGAATGACTGGGTACCCAAGCCTAGTTAGCTTCAAGCTAGCAATGATGTGGAAGCTTTGGCTAAGAAAATTCAAGACCTCCATCGACAAGTTTGGAAAGACTTCAAAGTGTTTTAACATGTACAAAGCTGATGCCTACTTGCACAGACATGAACAAACCTTTGAAATAGGAGACTTTGGTAATGGGGTACCTTAGGCATGAGAGCTTCCTAAGAGGGAGTTATCATAAGCTTAAATATTAGAAAATTGGCCCTTGTCAAGTGCTTCAAAAGATGGGGCAAAATGCCAACAAGATAGAGCTTCCTGATGGGTATGAAATTTCTCCTCTATGAGAATCATGGGGAGGTTGATGTGGAAGGTAGTGCCAGTTGGGAAACACATCTGCCTAAGCAAGAGGGGACAAGGTAGAAAGGATCTTGGACAGCCGCATCATCTCTACCCGTGGAGGGAATTATGGTTAGTATTTTAGCACAGTGGAGGGCCCAGCCTGATGCAAAGATCTTGTGGATTTGTAAAGAAGAAATGATGACGATTGATCTAAAAGCCCTTGGGGAGTTCATTGCCACTTCGAACTCAAGGGCAAGTTATCTTTAACCCCGGGAGATTGATAAAGAAAATAAAAGAAAGTTTTGATTAATATTTGCTTTTTTTTGAACTGCATTTTCTTTTTCTTTTTTCTTGCAGGGTTATTTTGGGAAATTTCCTCTGTAATGGTCTTTTCTGGGATTTACAGAAAAGTCAGGGAGTTCTTTTAAATTTTTGGGCATGGGAAAAATGAGGAGGGAAATATCTGAATTTGAATTTGAAATATAGCTTGGGAAGTGATATCGTGCATGGCATGGGCAAGTATATTTTGCATGACTTGAGAAGGGGTAGAGTCCATTTAATATTCTTAAGAAAGTTACGAGAGCACTGACTTAGAAGCCAAGCCAAATCTATTAACAGGGGAGACCTTACTCTGATGGAAATCAATGTTTTTAATGTAAATCTCAAAAAATCAGGAACTTAGTTCCCATTTGGGTGTCTTTGGACCCCCATATAAGCCATTGAAGCTAGGCTTTGTTAGCTTCAATCCATTGTTTTTGAATTACTGTTAAGTTCCGTTGTTTTCTACCTGATTTTGAGCTATTCCTCTCTTTTTCCTGCATCAGGTTTTGGCTAGCACTAAATTGTTATTCACTATAAATCTAAATAATACCTTCTGAATTCATCTTAAATACAATGTAATTGTGAAAAGTGCATGGACAGGGACTTTTATAACAACATAAATAGGAAAGGATATTTTGAGTCATGTAAGAAGGGAAGACAATGATTGACAATTTTTTTCCTTTTTTTTTTAAGGAGAAACAAAAAATTAGATTTATTTATGAAGCTAATTTGTAAAAGTCTCCCAGAGAAAAGTACAGATAGGAGCTAGTCTCTAGAGAATCCATATACCATCTCTCGACGATCAGTTGAAGCTCGTGGAGCACCCTTCACAAACTCTTCCATGGCTGTGAGAAAAAATGAAGGTGACTGCACCATGTGTCAGAAAGTAAATAACTACAAGCCATAGGTGAGAAGACCAATTGAATTGAACCTTCATATTACACAGCATGATAAAAACACATCAAGATACAAAGAAATAAAAGCTCTAACCTGTTCAATTTTGACAAAGCTTTCAGCACCCCGAGGATCAAGCCCCTTACATACTTCATAAAATTCAGACAAATTTGACGCCTAAAGCAATGAAAAGAAATAGTAAAAACACAAGTCCCAAAAAATAATTTGCAACCTCATCCAACACAATAATTTGTATGAGTAAATCCAACTTATAAAAGGAATAAAGGAAGAACCTGCTGTCTGGCCTTCCTGTATATTTCAAGAGCCCTCAAAGTATGATGTTGTTTCATTCCAAAGAACTGATATGATAACTAATAACAAGTTGGTATTCACAATGATTTAAGGAAGGCTTAATGAGCACATCAGCACTTTGTTACTACCTTGTCGACTAAATTGAAAGTGGCATCATTAATTGCATTGAAAATCCTAATACTTTCCCCTGCAACCTGGGAAAATAGAACAATATCAAGCATGCAAAAGAAATCACGGTAATCTATAATTGATCCTATCAATGCAACTCCAAATAGTATACATCAAATCAGGCAATTAATACTTACCAATGAAAGAGCCAATTGGATAATACAATTACTTCCAGCTGCTCCTTGTGGCTGTGCAAACAGATGCCATCAATATCCTGGTAGAAACTACATAAAGCCACATACCTAAGACAAAGAAACTATATCAAGGGCTTCTGGGCCTCTTACTTTAAGTGACAGAAAAATACGAGTTTAGATCAATAGAATCCATAGAATGCATATAAGGGATGTAGAAGTCATGATTATCCAACATGAAGCACCATCACAGATTACCTGGCAAGCAAGAAGACTAGAAAGTAGTTGCTGCAAAGATGGTAATTGCTCAAGCAAGTCAGCCGTGTCGAGTTCCCCCATCCTCTGAAAAGTGAAAAACCAGTTTGTTGGTGCAAATATCACAATGATTTTCATGCAGCAAATGATCAAGGCATCTTCAATATTATAGAAAACCAAATAGCATACAAACACTTCTATCATGGAAACAAATAATTATCAAAATAATTCATTATATATTTCACCGTTGTGCATAAGCCCTCTAGGGCATTTTGATGACTACCATAAATCCCATAAATCAACAGTTCAGGTATCTTCATTGAACCACTTGTGTTAAGAGTTTTAATCAAATAATTTTTTTTTAATATATAGACCAAGGAAAACAATTACATTTTGCATTCTCATAATTCTCACCAAGCTTTATCATTCTTTGTGTTGGATTTAAACTCCACAAATTCCATGAAAATATTTGAGGATATACCAACTTACATCATTCACTTAGATATTCTCAATTTGAGAAGCAGCATAGATCTGATAAACCAAAACAATCAAGGTATGTGCCTTTCATACCAGCACACGTACTGTACTTTCATTGAATGTGCCAGGCACATTTGTTGATTACTAAAATTTGAACTTTCGAATACATATCGTTCTATTTTTTTCTCTCTCTCTTTTTTTTTTCCTTTGAGTAAGGATTATAAGAATATGGACACAGAGTAATGCGATTATGATTTTAAAGAATCTATTCAAAAGAAATAGGACCACAATATAACAGTTTATAGAAAAGAAAGTCAAGCGACTCAACATCTTTCTCTCCCTTGAGAAATGCTTTCCATTAAATAGAGGGAGTCCAGGCAAAGACAAGATTGAGTTTGTTGAGACTGTTTGAATAACTCAGCTGTATGAGGATCTTTACAGATCTTATCTTCATTTAAAATGTCTCCTTTATCCTTCTGATCCATATGCTTAATGCCCCGAGTCTAGTTGAGCATAGGGGGAAGCACAAATCCCAACTTGCTGTGACTGTCACTGAAAATGATAAAAGGGAGACTTTTTGTTGAAAATGTTGGCTGACTGACGAAGGATGGGACAAAGAAAACACAAAAAGAACGAGCTGCAACCTTCTCTCTCCAACAAAGTCGTCCAATTCTGTATTTAGCATGGCCATGGAAAACTGGATTAGAACTCATATAAGTGGCACTCAAGTTACACAGTGATTGAGATAAATTGCTAGGTCACGTATCGAAAAGGTTATCCATGAGAGTTCAGTGGTTCTAACAGCCAGAGAACAATATTTGGCTTCTAAGCTAGGCCTATTCCATGGTCAGTTGTTCCTTTACAGTCCATGAGACACAATTTGATCCGAGAAAAATAGCATAACCTGATATCGATTGTTGAGTAACAGCGCATCCAGTCCAATCAGTGTCAGAGGAACCATACAAGGCCAATGAACTATTGGCATGAAGAAATAAGCCATGATGAATGCTTCCCTTTATATAATGTAAAATATATTTAACTACGTTAAAATGTTCAATGATAGAGGCATGCATAAACTAACATACATCATTGATATTGTATGCAAGGCAGGATATATCATGGGATCAGGAATTGAGGTGTATGTAGAATGCAACCCCTAGCCAGCAAGAATAGGAGTTGTTTTTTGTTTGCAAGTGGTATCAGCACATGGGCTGGCAACAGGCTAGGCCAGCGCTGGCCATAGCCCGGCCCTGGTGTCTAAAGGGCTAACCCAAGACCAACCCTAGGGCCGGGACTGGCCGGGCCTAATACACTTGAAGGGAAAAAGGAAGGGGAAAAAAATGGAAACAAAGGCCTGGACAGGGCAGGTCCTGTGCCTTGACCCAGGCCCACCCGGCCATACCCACGGCCATTGTGATCCAGACCCTAGTTTTATAGGGCTGGACTACTCAGCCCATAGCCAACCCTAATCAGCGTGAGCTAGAAGTTGTGCAGCAAACTTTGAGATAAAAAGAGCCTAAAGGAAGAAGTTGCAACATCAAGTCCCTAAAGCGATAACATAGTCCAAGATCCAAGGCAAATTCATGAGCAAGATCCGCAATAATTGTCTGTAGAAGAGAGTCATTATCCCTTGCAAGGAAGAAATCATCCATATAAAGGAGGATCAATATCCCATTCGAAGTACTTAAGATAAACACCGAACTACTACTGATAGAGATAGCTGATGAAATAATCAAACCAGGCTCGTGGAGCCTGTCTAGTCCCATAGATGGCATGATGGTGCTTACAAAAATAATCAAGATGAGATGAATCAATGCATCTAGGTAGTTGATCAATATATACCTCCCCTTGAATATGACTATACAAAAAGGAATATTTAACATCCAATTATCAAATGAACCAATGGTTAGTTGGTGCAATAGTGATCACAATAGTAGCCTTTATGACAGGGCTAAATGCTTCATCAAACTCTACACCATGCATTTGGTTGTTCCCCTTGGTCACAACATATGGATTGTACCTTTCAATAATGCAATTAGAGTTGAACTTGGTTTTGTAAACCTATTTTGAACCAATGATGTTCGTGTTATGCTTCCACAAAACAAGAAGTGTAGCAATCTGCTTATCCCTGGCAGCCTTCCAATGAGGTAACTTAAGAGCAGCTCTCAAACTCTTTGGTTCATTGGCAATATCAAGGGAAGCGACGAAAGTACTATGCGAAGAAGTGAGGGATTGAATATCACACCATCATGAGAGGATGTAGCGCATGGAGAGGGCCATTATGACCATGTCCAGTGTGTGTGGATATTTGTAGAAGAATAACCGCCACCATTTGTGTGAGAGGGACTTGATGGTGGAAAACATATTTCATCTCTAAGGCACTTAATACTATTGAGCCATCGCAAGGGTGGCCGTTTCCGTTGAAACATCATTTGTGGTAAGAGGGACATTATTGAGCAAACCTGGTTCAGTCACTCAAGTATCATACGATAAAGAGATGGTAGGAGAGATTTCCCACCATCATCTATGTTATGGAAGAAAACCTTTGGCAAGATAGCATTGTCCATTGTAGAATGAGATCCAGATTTCTTTTGATGGTCGGAGAGCTCAGACTTTGATAACTACCAACTCATCAAACATGACATGACCAGTGAAGCGAAGCCGTCCTGAGGGTGGACGAAGGCAGCAAAATCTTTTGTGATGATCATTATAACCCAAGAAAGACACATAGGTGTGATTTTTGGTGAGAATTTATTCCGTTGTATAATTACACAAATTTGGGACGAAACATCCAAATGTCCTTAATTGCCTATAGTCAGGTATATTTCCAAAGAGCTTGAAGTATGGAGAATGCTTGTCGATAACAGCCACAGCTATTTGCTCAATCGAATGCACAACAGTGAAAATGCTTCAATCTAAAGATTTTTTGGAACATTGCTATTAGAAAGGAGCGCTATCCCATCTTTGTTATTTGTCTATGTTTTCTTTCAAATCACCCATTCTGTTTTTGGAACATAACGAAGTATCCCACAATCACGAGGTGATTCAAAAGTTGTGTTTGTGAATTCCCCCCCGCATCACACTAGAAAATCTTAATCCTTTTGTCAATATTTTCAACCATTTTTTGAAACTTGATAAAGTAATCATAACACTTAGATCTTCTTTTTAATGAATAGAACCATGTGCATCAACTAAATCATCAATGAAAATAAATTAATAACGAAATCCGTATACATAAGATATTGGTCCAAGTCCCCAAAGGTCCGAATAAACTTTACAAAGAAAAGCAAAAGTAAAACATTCATTGAGATCCAATGGTAACTTATGACTCTCGTCCATCTAGCAGTACAAATAGATCAATCTTTATGTCAAGTTTTGGAGCAATTAGAATGGAACAAATTTTTAATGCATTGTACTACCTAAAACGTGGGGTATTTCTAGAGGATACAAGAGGTTTCAATCCCTTGATTGTATGGATCTATCTAGCAAAAATAGAAAATATACCATGCTTATCCTACTAAATTAGAAAGTGTACATGAATACAATTCGAAAATATTGGTAACTCCCAACACTCCCCTCAAGTTGGAGCGTAAACATTGAGTACGCCTAACTTGCCTGTGAGAAACAGAAATTGCTCTTTTCCATGAGCTTTTGTGAATATATCGGCTCATTGAAAACCAATTGGGACATGAACAGTATGAATGAGGCCCTGTTGAATTTTCTCGCAAACTATATGACAATCAATGTTAAGATGTTTTGTCTGCACATGGAAGACTGGATTGGCAACAATACGTATGGCTGACATCTTGTCACAATAAAGCATCATGGGGCCATTATCAAGAATGCCAAGATCAGACAAAAGGCATTTTAGCCACGTAAGTTCACAAGATGCAACTGCCATAGAATGATACTTCGCTTCTGCAGATGATTGTGAAATGTTTGATGTTTTTGAGTTTTCCAAGATATAGGACTGTCTCCTAACATAGTGCAGTAACCAGTAGTCAAGCGTATGGTCATTGGGAAACTAGCCTAATCAGAGCCACAATAGGCAGAGAGTTGTAGACTACTATTAGCAGAAAGCAAAATTCCTTAGCCAGGTGTCCTTATCAAGTAACAAAGAATTCGAGTAACGACATCTAAGTGTAATTTTCGAGGTTGATACATGAATTGACTGAGGATGTGGATAGAGTAGACAATGTCTGGCCTTGTAATTGTGAGAAACATAAGTCAACCATTCAACTGTCGATAAGGCATGGGGTCATTTAAAAGAGGTCAATTTTTGGCATGCAATTTTAAATTTTGTTCCATTGGTAAAGCGACAGATTTTGCAGCCAAACGACCCATATCTTGAAGATCTCAAAAGTGTATTTCCTTTGTGCGAAAAGAATTCCTTTCTTAGAACAAAGAACCTCGATGCCAAGAAAGTATGTCAAAGGACCTAAGTCCTTGATATGAAATCGATCACTGAGAAAGGTCTTGATAGTATTAATGGCATTAATAACGATGCTAGTGATCACAATATCATCTACATAGACCAAGAAATATTTTGGTGAATAAAGAATAGTCCACCTTTGATTGAACATATCCTGCTGCTAGTAATGCATCTGAAA